CTAGTATTTAGGGTTAGAGTTTATAATGAAAGAGTATAAGTGGGTTTTGTTAGAGTTGTGAGGGCTTATATTTTTAAATTAAGGTCTTAGATTTTACAATGATCTGATTTCACCATAATCCGTGACATATAATAGTCTAATTAATTATTATGATGACAACAACAATTTATTCATTCTCACCAATAGCCAAAAAGCATCTGAATTATCAAAAAATAAAGAAATACGTTCATTAATCAATAACGAAATTCAAAAATTAATACGAGAAAAAGAATTTGTTGTGGTTGGATGAGATGTGACCACTAATATTCTTCTAAATGCTAATTTAAAAATTGTATTATTAGCTGATTTGGAAACACATCTTAGTAAACATGTTATGCAATTAAATAAAGATCCTTACAATATTCTCTGCAATATCATCAAGAGGTACAGTATTTCTAAACCTCTTATTAACCAATTAAAAAAAGTTTCAAAAGTTATTAATACAACAGATCTTGAATCTTTAGAAGTTATTGAAAAGATTTTATCTATTATCAACAAAAAAACATCATTGAAAATATATTTAAAAATTTTTTTAATCTTTATATTATTCTTATTATCTTTTTTAATAAATAAATACCGTAAATCGCCAGATACAAGACCCGGGTCTCTTACATTTCACCAATTTTAAATCCTATAATAGACCTCGGGTCTAGTATGCAGCTGAGAATTCATGTCATTAAGAGGAAAACTTTCAAGAGTATACATGTTTTGCATTTATAATAGACAATCCAGATATTTAAAATAACCCATATTTGATTAATATAAATCTCATGATATGCATCTGGATTTACTATATAGTGGGTCTACTATCATGTGGGGTTTGTATCTAGTGATTTATGGTAATCTGATCAGTACTTTGTACTGATCAGAATTTTAATTATATAACATTTACTATTATCAAATATTAATAATGTCTAAATGAGCAAAAAGAAAATTGACCAATCTGAAGCCAACCAATTAGAAGAATCTCAATCTCAATTGGAAGCTTTAGTAACCAATACAATAATTGTCAAAAAAGATTATAATTACTATCTCAAATTAACAAATTAGAAGCTTAATGATAAGGTTGATGAAGCTGCATTAAAAAAAGCATTTCCAAATTTTAATGATTATGTACAATTTGTAAGTAATTTAATAAATTATTATGAAGCAAGAAAATCTACGTTCAATCGTATTGAAAGAATAATTCTGAAAGAAAAAGATCATGAACAGTTTAATGAGATTCAAGAGTAGAAAGAGAAAGTATTTCAAAGACCAAAGACTAGTGCAAAATTTGCTTTTGATAAGATGGAGCATTTTTATCAAAAATTGGTACCCAAAAAGCCAAAAACAAAAAAAAAAAAATTTTATCATTATTATTATTATTATTATTATTATTATTATAACTATTAGTTTTTATTATTTTTTTATTATTTACTTTACTTAGTCTTAATTAGACCAAGTAGAAATGTATTTGTTTAAATTAACATAAAACAGTTACAAAATAATCTCAAATTTTTAATCTATTCTGGGTCAGAACCATACAATTTTCACACAGTGAATATTATAATAAAGAATTAAATGCTATTAGTTTGTAGAACTCTTTGTGTTAAAAATCATATAAATTATTCTGATTTTTGTTTATATTTTCGATCGACAACTGCACCACCATTATTTTATTGTGATTAATATAATCATTTTCAAAAGAAAAATTTTGTAAAAAAATATAATTAGGCCACACAAATTTAATTAATTGATTTTCATATCATGAACTGGTGTCTAGTGACATGGCTGCACAGATTTTTTTTTTTGTAAAAAAATTTTTTTTAAAAAAAATAAATATAAAATGCAATAAAAAAGTTCTTTCTAATCTGTATTAGGTTTATTAGACCAATAATAATTAACTTTTATATATCTGCAATCATGGAAATACATTCGTCTGATTGGTTAATACAAATCAATTGCCTGGGTAATACTTTTAAAGTACTTTTTGAGAATATAACATTCACTAATAAAAAATCATTGCAAAAGCTTCGAAGCAACATTATATTCACTATGCAAAATAATCTAAAAGATCTTGCTTCTCATATACTTTACTTAGAAGCAATCATTTTTTATTATGTACCTGCTAGTACTAGTTATATTAATTATATGTAAGTTTTAAATGCCAAAAACGGACAACAGTTAAAAGATTAAGATGTTATATAAAAACTTTAAACTTAAAGATCTTTGAGTATTCTATTTAACATACTATATATTATAATAACAATAGTTTTATACTAATACTTACTGTATATTTTATGTATTCCAAATACAGTCAGACCTCTCTAAATTCAATATGACAGGACCATATGTAAAAATTTAGCTATACGTGCACTTAGAGAGGTATTGCAGTTAGGGAGATAAAAATTCATAAGTGCAATATTGGTTGGGCCTAAGAGAAGACATACATTTAGAAGGCTTTTTATAGGACATACACTTAGAGGGGTTGGTCTAACTGTATTATATAGAATTATACTAAATTAGTAAATATGACTTTGGGTTAAATAGTAGATTGATAATATGT